ACTCTTTCAGAAAAAAAGAGGAGGTGGGTTCACTTTCCAAGTCATTTTATAAGATCAGCATGGCCTTGATATCAAAACCAGACAAAGACATTACAAGAAAACAACAGGTCAACGTCCCTCATCAACATTGACACAAAAAATCCTTGAGAAAATTTCAGCAAACTGAATCTAGCAATATATAAAAAGGATAATATACCACGACCAACTAGGGTTCATTCTAGCAATGCAAGGTTTAACATTTAAAAAGGCAATAATTAATGCAATTTACTGTATTAACAGAACAAGAGGACAGCATATGATCATTTCAATAGATGGGAAAAAAGCATTTGACAAAATTTAACACTCATTTGTAAGAAAACTTCTCAGTAAATTAGGACTAGAAGAGATCTTCTTCAACCTAATAAAGAACATTTATGAAAAAAAACCTACAGCTAACATCACACTTCATAGTAAAAGATTAAATGCTTCCCCCTATGATCAGGAATAAGACAAGGATGTTTGCTCTAACCACTTCTATTTAACATCAACTTGGAGGTCCCAATCAGTGTAATAAGGTAAGAAAAAGAAATAAAAGTCATAAAGATTGTAAAGGAATATGTAAAACTTTCTTTATTCACAGATGACATGTTTGTATACATGAAACATACTAACAAATCTACAAAAAGCTGCTAGAGCTAATGAGTTTAGCAATGATACATTATTCAAGATCCATATAAAATCAACTAGGTTTCTATATTCTAGCAACAAACAATTAAAATTGAAATTTAAAAATAGCATTTATAATAACATCAAAACCATGAATTACTTAGGGATAAATATAACAAAATTTGTGCAAGATGTGTTCACTGAAAAGTATAAATGAAAATTTGAAATTAAAGACTTAAGGAAATGGAGAGATATAGCAAATTCATGGATTGAAAGCTTAAATATCGTTAAGATGTTATTCCTCCCCAAACTGATCTATAGATTCAGTGCAATCTACAGATGCACTGCAAGACTGTTTTACATCAGTAACACACTTGCATATAAATCTACTTGAGTCTTTTCAGTGGCTACATATATTCCCTCATATGAGTCAGGCACAGTTTATCCAACCAGTCCATCAGAGGTGGTCTGGTTAAGTAAGTATTTTCCATTCACTAAATTTTGTTAATAAACCATCTGATTCAGATATATACACGTACCTGATATATCTGTACATACATATACATATATGTATATATGAATACATTATATAACATAACTGCCATACTCTATCCTGGATCACAGGATCCAAACAGTATTACTGGATTAGGGAACATTCTTGTACATGATAGTCCATAAGCTTTATTATACAGAGTAGGTGATTTGCTAAATTAGAAAATCTTTTTATGGGACCTCATGCCATCTTTGGACTTTGTCCATGGTAGAGATACCTGAGCCAGGCATATGGGCAGGTTTCCTTCCTCTTAGCTTTCCAAGCTGGGCCCAACTCTTCTTCCAGTTGGGGTTGCTTCCTTATTCCATGCCTGGCTCCCCAGTTCCTGAGCTGGGACTAACTTCCTGATCACTGGCTTTATGACATCACCCGTTTTATATCTCATGAGTGCTATCACCGAAATCTCACCACTAATGACTTGTAATATTTGTGCTGGGCTTGTCTTCTCAACTCCCTTCCCTCAATTGGCAATCTAGTGTTTTCCCATGGACACATCTGTTTTCCTACAGCTGGGATACCTGGTTACTTCTCGCAAAGGATGGGTAGTTGCTACTGGTAGCCTTTCCAGCAAACTGCTTCCCATCCTTCCATCTTAAAAAGAGAAGTTTTCCAGTGTGAACACTGACATGCTTATTACTCAAACACTAATTTATTCAGTTGTTCATTCAGTGAATGAATACCAACAAGGTGTGTAGCTAACACTGTGCTAAGCACTGAGGGGGAATACAGACAACCAAAACACAGATGACCAAATGAATGCTACAAACTGTTATAGGAGTGTACTTGAACCTCTTAACAGGTTTGCCTTTCTCAAGTCTCTCCCTTTCACAATCTATCTTCCAGGTGTTACTGAGTAAGCTGTCTAAAAACCAAAGCTCATCTGTTTTCACAGAAAAAAGTATAAACTCTTTAGCGCAGCAGTCAAGTCTCTTCATAATCTGGCTCCAATTTTCATTCAAGCCTTAATTCTCCCCCACTTTCTCTCATAAATTCTATGTTCTCACTTGTCCCATGAGGCACCAGGTCCTTTCCAAACCTTATTCTCTTTGCCTAGAATGTGTTTCGCTCTTCTTCACCTGGCAAACTCTCAATGAACCTCCAAAATTCAGTTCAAAGTCTTGGTGAAACATTTCTTCTATTCACAACTGTTCTGGATTTGGGTACATTGCTCCGTCACCTTTATTAGATGGTGAAACTTTTGAGGGCACTGGGTTGACTTGCTAGTCTTTGAATCTCTGAATTCAAGTCTGAATAGGGCCTGGCAAATAGTAGGTACCCAATGAATATTTGTTAAATGAATGAAGGAATAAACGAATGTGAAGGAAGAGCTCAAAGGGCCTTGGTATACTTAGGTAAGGGATTTTTAAAGGCACAGGGCTTGAAGCTGCACCTAGGAAGACAAGAGATAGATGGGGAAAGAGCATCTGGAGGAGGAAGATTATTACCCTAGGACACAGAAGAACACAAGTCCAAGACTGAAAGTGAAGACAGTGAGGGGGTCAGCCAGACTACAGCTGACTGCTGCACTATCTTGACCTTTTCACTGACTAGATTTCTCAATTATATTTTCAGCTCCTGGAGGGCAGGGTATTTTGTACACTCCTTAGTATCCCTTTCATATATGATGCCCATCTCCACAGTCACTGTTCCTGCTGTCTCGTGGTTCTTACTCTGCTCTGTAATACAATTATTTGTGTATCTACTTGTCTCCCTAAAACTTACACTAGCCTCCCTCCCAGGCTGCTTGAGGTAAGGGAATAGATGCGGTCTTAGTGTCTTTGCATCTTCTAAGACACCTAGCATGGTGCCTGGCACACAATGGGTGCTCAGTAAATATTTTCTGATCCACCATCTGTTGATCTGATTACAGAGAACCACAAGGATATTTGTGTGCAACTGTGTATTATGGTACAAAACTTATATATGCCTTCACACTGTGCAGTCTATTTTTGGCAATTTTCATTAAAATGTTATCTTATTGTACATGGAAGACTGTCATTTCAATTTTCTCCTTTGTTCCTTCTTGGATGACTCACATCTCTTATACCAGAAGGATATGACAGAAGGGACTCAAAAAGGGTTTGGACACATTTATGAATGACAAAGTCATAAATGTCTGGGTATAAGGAGCTGTTGGGAGCATGCAAAGGGGAAGGAGAAAGCTTGCATTTCAAAAGTGCCTATTATGCACCAAGAACTGTGCTAGGCAATTGGCATACATTGTATATTATTTAATCTGGCAGAATATGTTGGCATAAAGACAGGACATGCCTATCTATAAGGCCAAACCCATATCTATTCAGGCACATAGCTTCTCCAGGTACCAAAGGCAGTATTTATCTTATTAAAATTTTATCAACCTTTTAAGACAGATGAATCTAAGGATTTGCATTGTTTCCTAAGAACAGAACACTCATTTTCAATTCAAGCTCCTATCATTTAAAACTCCTTTTTGGAAAAAAACAAAAACCAAAAAAACAAACAAACAAAAAAAACAAAAAAAAAACAAAAAAAAAAAAACCCAAACTCTTTGACATAACTTGATCAGTTTTTAAAGTCTCAAAGCTTTAAATTACAATGCAATTGGAGAGAGTCCCACAGCAGTAACAGCAATTACTTTTGTTCACAAATGTAAATTGTTTGCTTATCTTTATATTTCATAAAGCTTCCAAATACTGAACAAAGGTAAGTCAAGAAAAGAGACTTCTATTAACCCTGACACTAGCAAATTGTCTCAGATTATAGCATGCCTTCTATTTGTATTCTAGACACATAGAGTGGTTTTTTAGAGATACATATTTTGCCTCATTTGTGGTTAGAAGAAAATTGGAAGGGAATTAGTTTCAGTTGTTTCTAATTTTTTAAAAATAATAGTAACTTTAAAAAGAATAATGCTCCCGAGTGTACAGGTCCTGCATCTGATGGGAATCAAAACATACCCAAAGTACCATTTCTACTCCTGGGAATGGCTTGAGAAAGTGCGGCTGCAGGTACTGGTTCGTACATTGGTTTTATTGTAAGTCACACTATCCAAGGCCTAGGACTACACATCTTGATCTGTGATAACATGCTTCCTGCCAGGTGTGGGGGTGGGTGGGAAGAGAAGGGGTACACCTTCAGATAAGGGATAAGCAGCACACTCAGTGGGCTCAGACAGCTTTCTGTTAACCTGCTTTGAGAGAGCTAAAATAGACATCTTTGCTTCAGAAAGTGTAAAGCCCATCTCACATGACTAGAGAAAATGGCAAAAGTTCAAATGAAGTTTCACATTTTAGATGGTCTTCCCCCAACCTCTGTGTGCCACTAATTGCTGGAAAAACGCCAGACATGTCTTTGTGGTGATTATGTGTTTCTTACATTTTACATTAGTCAAAGGAAACTGAAAGACCAGGACTAACCCCAAAGAACACAGGTGTGACATACCACCTATGGAACTTTTTAAAGATAGACAAGAATCCAGCTTATACATTTAAAAAATTGCTCCTTCTGTTTTGAAACTAGGGGATGAAAATATGCACATATTCCAAAGAGTTCTTTGTGTGAACAGGTGACCCCTTCCCACAGTCTCTGTAATTAATTGAGAAATTAAAGTTAGTTGGCCTTTGAGATCTCTTGTAAAAAAAGGCAGAAGGTCTTGGATATTTTGGAACAAGAGTCCACTATTCTGCCAAGACAGTGTGTTATTGTTATTGGAGTGTCTCTCAACAAAACGGTATTGAGTGGTGAGGACGTGATTTTGATTAGGTGGAATGACTCAGCTCTTCCCCTTAAAGAAGAGAGGACTTGTCAGAGCCTTACTTACCTCATGATCTGGGATCTCAGAGGATAGTGTTTTCCCTAGGATGACCCCGGTCAAGTATGTCCAGCATCGAGCCGTGTTGGCAAGGTTATAGCCTCCTGTCTCCATCAAGAATTGTGAAGTTAGGAAAGAACAGTCACAAAACAGCAGGAGAGGGAAGGAGGGTAAGGAAGGAGAGAAAAATGTTTTAATAAAAGGGCTAAAAAGACAACTCCAACTTGCAGAACTTTACCTAAACATCCCTTTATGATGTTTTTGAACCACCTAGTAGGTGGACTTTAGTGGGTTAGTCAGACCATGCACAGTGTGGAACTAGGAAGTCTAAGGCCTGCAAAGATTAAAGAGGCTCTCATCTATGAACTAGTATGTATCCGAGGATTCCAAGCTCCTCAGTTTCATCAAGTCATCAGCAAGATTGAGATCCCTGGAACTTGGATCCCTGGAACCCAGCAACCCACCCAATGTCAAGGTTTCTGTGATGAATTTAGCAACAATCCTATAAAATGGCTGCTGGATGTAATTCGTATGTTAAAGCCATTGGCAGATATAGTCCTAGAAATATCCAGGAAAGAGAAACAGAAAATGCTGACAGAAATAGACTTCCTTCTTCCAATATCAGCATTCCTTTTCTCCACAAAACACATGCCTAGTGGCAGAGATCAAAGAGAATGAGATGAGGAAGGGACTGTTGATTGATGCTCTGACCCATCTCGTCAGGTTCTGTCACAGTCACCCAGCAGCCATATTATACTGGCTAATAATCAGCATATTTTTGCACTGAATAGATGTGTTCTGCCATGCAAGCATTAGAACATTGGCCTTTAGCTAAATTCTAAGAGTGTAAGGATGAAATGGAATGATTTCCTAACTTCAGTGCAGCCTGAGGGAAATAAAAGCTGGTCTATTTTAAGTAAGGTAACCATATAATTTATTGTCCAAATGGTACATTTTAACAGTTAAAGGGGACACTATTCATAATTACACAGGGATAGCATGTATAAATTGGGACATATGGTCACCTTTCTCTTAAGCCTTTCTTGAAAGAAAGGCTTTCTCCTTGAAAGGTCAGGGATACTGGGGATTTTGGAATTCTTTTAGGCCTCAGGGGGGTCCAATGAAGCTTGGGGAAATGGCCATATCCACTAGTTGTCTATGTCTTATTGGAGATTGAGAATTTAAGTGAAATAGTACACTTTATTACTTTAAACACTCCTGACGTGAAAAATCTGAATTTAGAAGATCAACTTATTGGGTATGATTATTTGATTTCAAAAAGATTCACTATAGATCTGAAGTAGTAAGCTCTCTCTGGTACATATACAATACGATTTGATTTGCAAAAATACCATTTACATACAGGAATTTTCAGGAATACACATATTGCACAAGAAGGGTTATATATACAAAAGCCAAAACTTTGGGCTGACAAAGCAAAAAGACTTTGAAAATGCTAAGCAAAGGCTGTAGCCACAAACAAAAGTTGGATTTGCACAGATGTATGTTGTGGAAAGGGCTCTTTTCCTCCCCCTAGCTGTACCTGTATCATCACCAGCACCCTTAGTACTGTCAAGGAAAGTAATACGTCATACAATACTTATAATTTCATCTTTTCCCTGAGTTGAAGTTAATAGATGTCTTGCCAGCTTTTCATAAGAGGTTGCCTCTTGTAAGCACCTGTAATTTTGATCCTTCTAGGATTTGAGGCTGCCAAAGGACCAGGCTTGTGTATTTGTGCTGAATGCCCACTCATTTTCATAAGGCCTTCCCACAGCCTCCTCTAATTTGTTTTTTACAACAGGTTGACAAAACAACAAACTATTAGCTATTCCATAATACATGCACTTTAAGCTCAATCTGCTTGACATGTTATTTTAACACACCAATCCATTCACCCAATGAAATAAAGATTGTGCCAGATAGATAGAAGACTCTTAGCAAGGCATCTTCAAAGGTAGTTGAGGTTGTAAAAAGTACCTTTCACAAATGTGTAAATGCTTCTATTGAATAGACCCAGCTTTCTGTTGATTAAGTAATACAAAATGTCAGTACACACTGAAGGCAAGGATGCCCAAGAGACTCTAGGTCTCTCAGTTCTGCTTTATTGTAACAAATCCATGCTTCTTTTGTTGGGGGCTGGGGCGGGGTCGGGGGGGAGAAGTCATTCTTGAATTCAGCTTAGATATTTAATTAGTTCGTATGTTCACTAAAGAATTTTAGTGGTATGTTTCCAAAGGATGATTACTAGAACTGAGAGTCAAAAACTATATTGAGAGAAGATGGATTAAAGTCCACTGAGGTTAATATCCACTATTCTTAATAAGATCTGATGGCACCTTTAATAAAAGGACCTTTGCTTCAGGAAGTGAAACTTAGACTTCAGAGTGCCAAGGAGTCAATACACATGCCAAGCTGAGGAGAAGTGTGTCACAGTACTTCCTTATGCTGAATCGTGAAGGGGGCAGAGTTCTCTGACTCAGGCTTCTGGATCACAGGCAGGTTGGTATTATCCAATCTAAGAAAGCCAAGTTTTCCTCAGTGTCAATGGACAAAATGTGGAAGAAGGTCAGCAAATTCTCCTGGTGACCTCCCTTTGTACTCACCTCCTCCCAAAATGAGTGTTGCCAACTGCCACTGAAGAATGTACTTAAGACATTTGCCAATTCCCACTGGAGTCATGTTAAAGGAACACATGGGATCCCCAGCAATCGTATCAGCTCCCAGCTGTAAGACCACTGCTTTGGGATTAAAGGCTATGTAGACCTCCTTTAGTACACTGTAGAAAAGAGAAAGGATAGAAAATGTCAGAAAAAGATAGATCAGTTTGGTGGTGGTTGGGGCGAGGGCAGCTGGAAGTATAGCTGAGTCAGCAAACAGTGAAGGGGAAAAAAGATCCAACTCGTCAACTCATCAAACTTTCCATCTAAAAAAGGTGAATCAGACTGTATCTAAATTATGCCTTAAAAAACCCGATTTACAAAAAACATCCCCCCCCCACTTTCACATTACCAAGAACCAAGTTTACCCTTAATGTTTCAGAACACAAACTTCCCTTAAATATTCATATTCACTTAACTTCAACAGCCATAGGACAGAGTATACATATTTACTCCATTTTACAATCTGGGAAAATAAGACACATACACTGAACAGTTCTGATAATTTAAGATTGTAAACATACTTGGAGTTTATTATCTAGTTATCAATGGAAACTACTGAAGAGAATTAACATGCCTTTGAAAGCACAGATGTTATCAGCTTACTTTCTATTATGCTAAAGGACTTCTGGGTTATGAAATATAGCCCTCCCTAAATCATATGTAACCAGAGTCTTCTTGAGCAGGAAATGATAACCACTGATCCAAAATTATAAATCTGAAAGCACCCTAAAGAATAAGTTATAGTGAGCAATAATGAGGATAATTTGGGGGTAGAATCACACAGTGCTATTAAATCAACCTAACGGCTGTTCCTTTTCCTCACAGAAGCATCATAGATGAAAAAAAATGTTGTCAGTGTGACAGATGACCTTAGTCAGGCTTCTAGTATTATCATTAACTGAACACTGACACTGTCCAGAATACATTCTTAGGAGTTATAAGGTTCCTGCTCTCAAGGGGCTTACAATCTAGTTTCCCGACAAAACATATACCAGTCCTCATGGGCCTGAGCAACTCTTACAGAGACACATAAACAAGTGTAAATTAACATACTTCAGAGTTGAGAAAATGCAGAGTCAGAAAGTGATAAAAAATGTTGGGGTTAATGACCCTTCATAATCAACATGTCAAATTATACCAGTGCAGCAAAAACAGAAAAATTCCAGATCCTTCTGAAACTGCAAGAAGAATTCAAGGGATATAAAATGTCATTCTCCCAAATTCATATGTAACCAGGGTATTGAAACTATTGAAAAGCTCAGCTGCAGAGGCATTCTTTGACTCAAAAGACTGTTCTGTTTTGATTTCTCATCTATGCAGACAACTATTGTGTGATTGTGGAGATTATAAGAATATTATAAAACTTACGGCATATGATCCTTAATACAGAAATACTCAAGCCTATTCTTTCATGTGCCTATCTCCTGGTACAGAGGGAAACTAAGCCACCTGAATATTCAGCTAACATTATTTTGAGCATCTACATGTACAGGGCACCCTATTAGCTGCTATTAGGAGACACAGAGGAAGGCATGATCTCTCTTCTGAAAAGGTTTATATAACTGAAGAGGAAGAAGGTGGAGGCAAGGAAGACTAATGTTTCTTCTTTCATTCTTTCTCTCATTTTGCACATATTTACTGACTGCCCTCTGTGTGTCCAGCATGTAACTGTACCAGGAACATGCTGCAGGAACAAAGATGAATATGACACAGCTCTTATTTTCATGGGGCTCAGATCACAGGGGAAGGTTCATACTATGTTAATCGGTAATTAAAATATGATAAATAAAGTATTAGAGATGGCACACAGAGAAGGGAGTAATTGACTTTTCTAGAAGATGTCAGGAAAGGCTCTACAGAAGTAACTTTTGACTTAGGTCTTAAAAGATAAGAACTACAGTGAACCACCTATTGAAATGGCTAAAATGAAAAAAAAAAAAGCAGTAACTTCAATTGCTGGTGAGGATGTGGAGAAACTACACCGCACATAGCTTGTGGGTGGGAATGTAAAATGGTATAGCCACTTCGGAAAATAGTTTGGCAGTTCCCATCAAAATTAAAAATAGACTTAACATATGGCCCAGCAATTGCCTTCTTGGGAATTTATACAAGAGAAATTAAGACTTATTTTCATATAGGAACTTATACACAAATATTCATAGCAGCTTTATTTGTAACGATCCAAACTGGAAACCACTCAGATATACTTCAATAAGTGAATGGTTAAACAAACTGTGGTACGTCCATACCACTGGAATAGTGTTTATCAATAAAAAGAAAAAAAAACTATCGATAAATGCAAAAAACAAAACAAAACTTGGATGGCTTTCAAAGGAATTATGCTTGATGAATAAGGCCAATTCAGAATCTATACTGCATGATTCCATTATATACCATTTGTTAAGTAACAATTTGAGGGGTGGCAAACAGATTGGAGGTTTCCAGTAGTTAAGGATGGCTATAAAATAGTAGTATGAGACAGCCTTGTGGTGATGGTTGTGGTTATGAAAAGCTATGCATGTGATAAAAATCTCATAGAGCCACCCCCCCTATATACACATGAGTGCATGAATAATGGGTGAAAACTAAGTAAGCTCTATGAATTGTACCAATGCCAACTTCTTGATTTTGATGTTGAATTATAATCATGCAGGATGTCAAGATTGGAGGAGGCTGGAAGAAGGGTGCATGGGACTTCGTTGTACATTTCTTTGCAACCTCCCTTGAGTCTATAATTATGTCAAAATAAAAAAATTAAGAAGAAAGATTAGGAAAAGTTTTCAGGCATGTGGGGTGAAGACAGTGGAGTTGGCAACAGGAATGGTTATGAGGGTTACTGGTAGGAGATGAGGTTCAGAGAAGGAACTGCACACACAAGAGCATGATGGCTTGAAACAGGCAGTAGTGGGAGGGAGGCTAGTGAAATAAACATGGGTTAGGGTACTCAGGGCCAGATATGCCAGGCAGGCTAACAAGTGGGGACTTTTACTTCAAGAGTATGGACCATCTCAAACATTGTGTGTGTCTGTGTGTTTCCATTCATGTACGTGTGTTGGGGGAATGATCAGATTTACATTTTGAAAAGCTACTCTAGCTATAGCATAGGATATACTAAAGGTTATCAGGGGCCATTTGCACCCATCCAGGCCAGTGGCAGCAAAGGAAGGGAAGAAAAGATGGATTTGGGAGATACTTCCAGGGTAGAATTGATAGGGCAGCACATACTGACACACAAGAAAAGCATCTACATACAACATTCATGAGCATTTTGTACAGGGAGAGAGGAAAGGATATAGGAAGGCAGGTGCTTCTGGGATAGCTGTCTGAATGATAGCCAGGGAGAGAAAACGAGTCCCCAGGGAATTCTGATGAAGAGGGCTCTGGATGGCTAGAGAAAAGGGTAATTGGAAGCTTTGGCAATGGTAAGGTATTTCATACACAGTGTAAACATCAAGGACACTGCAAGTGAGGACACCTTCCATGTGAGGGCTACATGGTGGACACTCTTAAATTAAAGACCAAAAGTTTTCCTTTAGTTTGACAGTCAAACGGGAGTCGCTGGAGAAGCATAAGGACCAATGTTGCTGAAAAATGATGCTTAGGAACTCTGATTTTTGCTGTTGCGTGGAAGGCCAAGGAGAGAAAGTCTGGAGGCAGAGGGGTTGGCAAAAAGGGTATTGAAGCATTCTAAGCACAAGAGCATCAGGAAGCAATGTAAGATACCCTTGGGGAAAAAAAATGAGAGGGCTAGGTGACAGACTGGGTGGGGGTTGGGGTGGTCAGAGTAGAAAACACACTGCGCCGATTCCTCCAGAATTCTCAGGAGGGGGAAAGCGAAATAAAAATATTCCTTTTCCTAGTGCAACTTCCAAATCCAGTGTTCCTTCCTCTCATCAATCTCATCTCCTTTGAGTCAATGTCATTTGCTTATACCACTTAAACACTAGCAAAGGTCCTAGCTACAGACCTACTACAAGGTACTCTTTCACCTCCCTTAAGGACTTAAGCACCTGGAATTTTTTCTGTCTCTCCCTTTCCCCGTCATTTGTCTTTGCCATTCACTATTCACTTGCTTACTCACATCTTGATTCAAGCACCTGTTCTCACCCATGCTGGGCACTAGAGATACAGAAATAAGTAAGACCCAAGGAGCGTGTTGCACAGTAGGGAAGGAAGATAGGAAAGCAAGTAACTGTGACAAGTGCCATAATACCCATCCACTCATTCAAACAAATCTTAACTAAATGCCTACTGTATATGAGGCATTATGTTGGGCAATGGGATTACTGTACTGAACAAAAGAGACCTGACTCTTCCCCTTGTGACCCTTCTAATTCTCTGAAATCACAGTTTCTTCACCTTTTGAACAACAGAGATGTCCACCTGCACTTCACTTTAGTTATCTCCAGGCATAGCCATGCTTTAGGGCCTGGTGAAGAAGTGCTTGGAAATGCTCTACTTCTAACACCCTGAACTCTGAACTGCTTTTACTGTGTACAATTTTCTATCTTCCCATTGAACTTGTTCTTTATTCTCATTTTAACTGCTGTTTCCTTGTCTTTCTATTTTCAAAGTCTACCAGTTTATCTTTTGACCTCATTTGCTTCACTACTCATTTTGAAGAATACAATTAGTCATTTCAAAAACTCTTATTAGCATACTTAATTCCCTCACACCTTTGTCGTTTTTGCCCTGTCAATCCTTAAGCCCTTGGATAAACCACTCTGTCAGAATTTTCTTCTCTGTTCTGCTGGAGAAAGCTGAGAACTCAAGCCAATTGCTTCCTATATAGTCTATGCTTATGACTCCAATTCAACAAATTCCATAAACATTTATTGAGTGATCGATATATGCCACTCCCTCTGTGCAGCTTGGCAATCATTTGCTTCACCTCTTGTTGGTAAACAATTACATTTCTTGAAGCATCTAGTCTAATTAAAAAAAAATACAAATCCAATGAGTGTACATTCTTTAAAAAAATATTTATTTGTCAGAGAGAGAGAGAGAGCAAGCGAGCACACAAGCAAGGAGAGCAGCGGCAGAGGGAGCAGCGGGCTCTCTGCCAAATAGGGAGCCTGAAGCGGGACTCAATCCCAGGACCCCAGGGACCATGACC